TGGGAAAGAGGGAAAAAATCCAACCCCCCCCCCCCCCATCTTTCCCAGGTGTTTTGTAAAATAAAATCTGTACACTAATCAGAACGGTGTTCACCAATACCCTGATATCTGTTGGTGTAACTAGACTGTTTACACTGGATGTGTTTATGTGCCTTACTGGCCAACCACATAGCCACCATGTCTGCTTTATTGTAAATTCCACACCCACTTCACCCAATGTTGTCTAATTCCCTCCCATACAGCTCTAATTACATGTTCACCATAATTAATTCTCTTTTAAATTGTCTTTTAAATTAGGGAATGCCAGGGCTTCCAGGATCACCAGGTGAACCAGGTTCAGAAGGTTTTGGATTACCAGGACCCAAGGTAATATTTAAATTATGCACAGGAGTAACTTATCATTCTCATTTTCTTATAAGTACATGAAACCAATGAGTCTTACTATTATCCTTAGGGTGATCCAGGTTTCAGAGGTCCTCTTGGTCTACCAGGTCCTCCAGGTGAAGGATTTCCAGGACCAAAGGTAAGTAATCTTTTTAATAAAATTCAAAGTAGAAAAATGTGGCATCACCTAAACAGAATAATAACAGCTATTCTATATTCTATATCCACGAGAATAGAGCCTTCAATATATAATTTGAGTAGAAATGTGTGATATCTTGACACCTGCTACTAATTATTTCGGGTTTCAGTCTTATACTATAAAAAGTATACAGGATACGATATGTCCAGTTTTTTTTCTTCCAGATAGTAAACTATCATAATAGTCTATATGTTTTTGTTTTTTTTAAAAGGGAAATGTAGGAAAATCTGGTCTGCCTGGTCCTCAGGGTCCCCCAGGTGAAGGCATTCAAGGACCAAAGGTAATGTGGAAGTTCCTACTAATTATTTTTTGTTTGTGCATAGTAGGATGTTTTAAGTGACCAACAGTGTATCTGTAGGTATAGCAGAGGTAGCAGCAGCTACTGAGCCATCAATCTGACCCTGAGTCAAGACAAGAGTGCTTCTTTCCGTATTATTATTGCACTTAACACTAACAGAAGCATTCTTTTTTTTTTGTGCATCTTTAAGTGTTCATCAACTAAATGTCACTAAGCAGATTTTTTTTATGTTAAATGCATGTATACGAAGTAATGTGCAGGTGTAAAACTTGCAGACATTTAAATGCACTCCCCATAAAACAATGTGTTCAGCTTTGTTTCTCCCCAGCAGACCAGCACCAGTGTAATTCAGGCATAATTCAGAGTCAACATCTACTTCCTTTACTAAGATGATTAACCAAAAGATGACACAGTCATGTAAATACTGATACCTGTGCAAAAGCCTTTATTTTCTTGACTGTGTCTACTTTACGGTACATATGTCTTATACAGATCAGCCTTGTGCTTCTGTCTCTCAGTATGTGATCGGCCAATGTAAAAATATGCCATATTTAGATAGCTTGGTTCTCAGGAAGTGTCCTACCCTGTGACCTGCCTGTGTACAAGTCCAGCATGGTCTCGCACAGAGTAGCCTCTCCTTCTCTTCTGCTTCTGCCTGTGAGCATGCAAATCACTTGACAAGGGTGGTCAAGGGGTAAGGGTAGACAGGAAATAAACCATTTTACCTACAGGAGGGAAGACTTGGGACATGCTTCCTCCTGCCTACAACAAGCTCAAATGATATAAGTCTCCTAGCATGTTCCTTTCAGGTATGCCTTGAAAACTATGCTGAGGTACAGTCACTTGGCTGGCCCTCAAGGACTACTTTCTAATGATAAAGGTATAGTTTCAAAAGGGAAATATCAATGGTTTTAAATTGATGTTTTATATCTTTTTTATATATTTCTTTGTTATGTCATATATGACAAATGATACCTAAAGCCCTGTGAGGAAAGAGCACAAAAAAATGTTGCCTGCTTTGAGGCTTGATATTTCTTATTGAAAACTCAGTTGCACCTCTCCAGTAAGGGATAAGTCCTCCCTCTGTGTCAGGGATCACTGTGTCTAAGTTTTTGCTCGGGTTATTTGAGTTTTTTTCAATAGAGGGGAAAAGAGATTGAGAAAAATCTGTAAAAAGGAACCTAAAGTTCCTCCAGCTAACTTATAAGGAGAATATAAAATATTTTTGTGCAATAATTTTTATATTTGCCCAACTAAAAAGAATATTATGAAGTTCAATAGTTTCAAATTTAAGTCCTGAATAAATAAAGAAAATGTGTACACAGCACTTTAAATTCCCTTAAAAAATACATTATGCAAACTTGTAAAGTTACTTGTAGGTTCTGCTCTAATACTCAGATCATTGATATCCTCTGTGCTAGAGATCTGTGTGACTATTAAGGATAATGAATGCTGAGGAATGCACAGGGTTCATAGAGGTGTAGTTACTCCCATGACTTTATGCAAAAATAAAATAATATATAATATTGTTAAGGCTGACCTTTACCCCCTAAAAATCACTCACTGCATGCCGATTTAAAATCATCTTACATTCATTAGTTAAACAAACTTTTTTTTCATTTACTTACAAATAGAGTTCATCTACTTCCTGGTCCAGTTCTGGCACACTTGATGTATGTGCCAAAGTGTTGCATCTTGGGAGGGTTAAATCAGCAGAGCATTGCTTGGAAATCAGATCTCTAATCTCATGAGATCTCAGGGAAAGGCATTTTCCTCCGCTGAGATGATGTATATGGTCACATGTTCTAGTCACATGTGCCAGAGTTCCAGGAAGTAAATGGAGAGCTAGTAATCTGCCCTTAGTAAACATGGCCACTGTCAGAAGACTGGGAAAGAAAAATAAGGTATGCAATGAATACAAAGCCGGCAATTATTTATAAGTATGTGTTTGTAGATTGTCATTACTAAACATTTCTAAAGATGTGTTTGTTGTTATTTTAAAGATCTGGGTGAAGTTCCTCTTTAATAACTGCATTATATTTTGTAGGGAGAACAAGGATTTCAAGGTATGCCAGGACCTCGTGGACCCCCAGGAGAAGGACTTCTAGGACCTAAGGTCAGGACATATTTCTATACATTAATTAGTTCTAATTGTAAATGTTTTCCTAAATATAAGCTTACCATGAAAAATACACATGATATTTTTCAGGGTGACCGTGGTTCTGCTGGTGAAAGAGGAAGAAAAGGAGATAAAGGTGACACTGGAGACCCTGGAACCCCAGGCGACACTGTAAGATATATTTTGTCTCCTAGACCATAGAAGAAGCATGTAACAGTGTGAAACTGTGATGTGTGCTAGACCAAATGAACATGTATTATGCTTGAGAAGTGGTAAAATGAAGCAGTATCATACTTCATACTTGCCTGGCACAGATCGTAGAAAGATACTTATTTGGACAACCCCTATCCCTCTTTCTTTAATTTATATATGAACATCTTGTAGTGAGCAATCAGGAAATATAAAGCTGAAGTCTAGCCTTAGTTTCAGTCTTGCACAGTAGGACAGGTTCCTCTCCTTCTCTCCTCCCTGTGATTTACCTGCATACTGTAAGCTTTTTACAATGTGCATTAGAAGCTACAGCAAGTGAGAAAGAGCCCATCGTATTTCCTGGCTGGAGGACAGCAAGATTCATCGGAATATTTAATCCCCAGCCTTACTGTCCCTTGCCCATCCCTTTCATTCACTGGATTTCAGTTATTTCAATTGTGGAGGTTCATCATCATCATTAGTTGATATGTTGTACTTTGGAACCATCAATAAACACAGATTATGGCTTTTCATTCCTGAGTATAGCTACTTTATTATTTGACTGTGATATATTGTGGAGTGGAGGACCAACCACATGGGAACCAGCACCAGGGATAGGTCTGTATGTGAGCATGTGTGCCTGCAGTGGAGCACTGGAATTCTAAAATTAGGGAGGAATGAATCAAAAGGCAAAATAAAAGTAGAATACACTTCAGCATTAAACTATACTCCATCGGCCTAACCACACCTCCAAATTTGACCTCTACCATTCCCATTTACTAAGGATCTTTCTTTTTGGCTGTTTAAACTTTGGGACTGTCCCATTAAGACAAGCTTTTTTGAAATCTATATGTTTATATTATATTTAAGAAATAATTACTACTTATGTACAAATGCTTAAAATTATCATGAAATCCTATAGTTACACATTCAGGTTGAAAAAAAAGACATGCACACTGAGACATGTTTATTACTCTGTGATTTTAATACTTGTTTTCAATAAGATATCAATGAGCGAGGTGGGGCAAGAGGGGCAAGCAACCCTTTAGACAAGCCAGTTTCTCAAAACTAACCTCTAAGAAACATGACGCCAAAACAGATGTAGATTGCACATACTGTAGATGATCTGGGTTCACAACGTAGTCAGCTTGATGCATATCAACAATGGCTTAATCATAAGACTTATTATTACGCCATTCTGCTGAAGCATTTCAAGGCAACTATATTGTGCCATTTCTGATATTATAACATTTTGAACAATAAAATAATCTTTGTACCCAAATAATTTGTGTGCAATCTACATCTTATATGGAATTGTATGTACCGGGGAGGCAAGTCTGTAGATCAACACCAGAGCCAGGATGGAGGTGGGTCGGTCTAGATACAGGCAGCAGATTGCTTTCTATGTGTATCTAAGAAATATGACCTTATCAGTGAACTTTAAAATTGCTCTATACTCACAACAGCAACTTAAATCAACAACCAAGACTTCTCTAAAGTCTCTCCCATCCTCTGGAACTCTTTACTCCAACCTGTCCGTCTATATCCCACTCTGCCTTTAGGCGATCCCTTTAAACTCATCTCTTCAGGGAAGCCTATTCCACCTCAAACTAACCACTCAACCATCACGTTCTGAAACAATTCATCCCTGCGCAGCTACCTCCTTATATATCACTTGCCCCTCCCTTTTAGATTGTAAGTCCTCGCAGTCACGGCCCTCCTTACCATCTTGTCTTGAATTGTATTGTGATCGTAATGTCTTCCCTATATTGTAAAAGCACTCCGCAAACTGTTGGCGCTATATAAATCCTGTATAATAATAATAATAGTAACCATCTAATATGTTTTCGCAGGGCAAAACAGGCTCTAAAGGAGAAGCTGGATTAACAGTAAGTATAGCTGATAGTATATATGACAGACCGAGCTGATAAAAGGGCAAGAAGTGGAAGGTACAATGCTAAAATAAAAAGTGCACTAATCTAAAGCAACCAATAACAGTTATCCCTTGACTGGCCTACAGTAAAATGCAATTTGATTGGCTTCTATGCTCCTTGTAAACATTCATTACACTTTGTACTGGTTAATAAATAAGCCCAAAAGAGCTGATGTCAGCTAGTATTGGAATGCACTTAGATATGTTGCATGTGGTCATATAAGTATAATATGTTAAAGAGCTTGTTTTCTATTACACAGAGAGAAGATATAATTAAGATGATAAAGGAAATTTGCGGTAAGTTAAAATGTTTCTCAAATGTACAACATATGTTATACCACAAGAAAACAGGCATTAGTAACATCATCAGTACATATTTACAGGAGGTGCTCTGCTTTCTTTTATTCTACAGTGGACAGCATTGTTATTCCTATTATAGAGACCAAATGCCTATTTTTTACCTCTGCATTATTCTTCTATTTTAACCTCGACTTTCCTTTCACTTGGGTAACCTCACACCTTGCCTCCTAGCATATTCTTGGCTGTCTGTCTTTGGTTATCCTATTTACTGTATTTGTCCGAACTAGCTGAGCTGCTCCATCTCCCTATTTTCTTGCCATACAAAGTGCAATATTACTAAGATATTATTGGTATTCATCAGGTCAGGTATTTTTTAGAAGTAGCGGTGCAGCGTTTGTGTTGTATTGTATCAAAAAGTTGGCAAGAGCACTTTGTTTTTTTGGGTGCATATTAATTAGATTGAATTAAGTTTACTAAGTTTTAGGAATGCAGGAAAATGATAGAAAATTTGTTTTTAAAAAAACTGTTTATTGGACTTAAACAGTTGTACACAAGTTTAAAAGTATATACATGTTCACAATTACAATGAGTATGCAGAAACATCTGGATGTAAATATGCAAAATAAAATAAAGAAATAGAGACAGTGACAGTCTGTTGTGTGCCTTTGTCACATACACGTATTATATAACACAATACAGAGAGACAGATATATATGGATTATAGTAGTTGTGACTGTGAGACTGAGGAGGTCATCCCTAACATAGAGTGAGAATATAGGTACACCATAGGTCCCAAAGTTTATGTAATTTTAGAGGACAGTTACATAGTTACATAGTTACATAGTATTTGAGGTTGAATAAAGACATTAGTCCATCAAGTCCAACCTATTAGGATCTCATTCTAGGAGTACCTGTACCCCTGTATATTACGGTCCCTTAAGAAATCGTCCAAAAGTTTCTTGAACAATTCCACATTCTTTGCTGAAATCACTGTCTGTGGCAGTGAGTTCCAGACTCTAACTGATCTTACTGTGAAGAACCCCCTTCGCCCCTTGTGCTGGAATTTTTTTTCCACCAATTTTAGGTGGTGGCCTCTAGTTTTTGTAATGGAGTTAATTTTAAACAGTTTATCGCTAATGTTGCTGCCACCATTGAACATTGTTCAATGGTGGCAGCAGTTCCTATTCCCATTGATAACGTTTTCATAAGGTATATTGATACTTTATTTCCATTGAGATACGGTAGGGGAGAATAGAGTAATTTATTTAATAGCTAGGGCTTTGCAGGCCATAGTAGGGAGAGTTTGCTGTTTGGAGATCAGTGTCCCTGGTTAGCAGGTAACCAGGGATGCTGATCTCTCTGTAAGTGGCCAGAGCCAGCCGTAAGATCACGGTTGGCTCCGCCCAGCTGTCAGATGCAGGCTGTCGCCGTCCAATGGCCGGCCGCTCGGCCAGCTTTGGCTTTCAGCGCTGCTCAGCCGAGCCGATGCATATGCGTTCGGCTCGACTGAGGGCCGAAGCTAGCCGAAGGATCGGCCGAAGCTACGGCTAGATCCTTCGGCAGCTTCGTAATTAGACCCCAATGTTTCTCTTAGAAATGTTCTAGAATAGTGTGGCCAATATTCTTTGTCTAATATGCCAAACAAACAAACAAACAAAAACGTTAGGTGTACAAAATGGTGCAAGGCTTTACTATGGACCATTAGTGTAGTAGCAGAGGTGGCATGTGCTTCTAGGCCACTAGAAAACAGCTTCACTTATATAACGAGGCGTGTCTCTTTCTCTATCGAAACACTAGTGGAAGTTTAATCCCAAGCTGAACCTAAAGCTCATGTTATTTTAAGGAGCGAGAACCTGTGCAGTAATATTTAGGAATTGCCTCTACATTGACAGCCATTAATATGCAGTAGTAACACACTGCTACCTTCAAAGAGCCTGTTAAACCCCTTTGTGAATTGATCCTTTAGCAATATGAGTTATATAATGGGCATTAGCAAGTGAATAGCAGTTGAGCAAAAGAAAAACAGCTTTATGAATTAACCTTATCACATGTAAATTTCTTAGTAAATGTTCTTGTCCTTTTTTTTCATAGGTTGTGGTGTTAAATGTAAGGAAATACCTATGGAGCTTGTATTTGTGATAGACAGCTCTGAGAGTGTCGGGCCAGAAAACTTTGAAATCATCAAAGACTTTGTGACTGCTCTTGTGGATAGAGTGACTGTAAGCCGAAATGCCACCCGCATAGGACTTGTAATCTACAGTTTAGAAGTGCGACTAGAGTTTGGCCTGAATAGATTCATCACCCAGCAAGACGTGAAGCAAGCAATTAGAAAGATGATGTATATGGGAGAGGGCACCTATACCGGTACTGCCATTCGCAAGGCCACCCAGGAAGGATTTTTCGGTGCAAGGTCAGGAGTCAGGAAAGTAGCTATCGTTCTCACAGATGGTCAGACGGACAAGAGAGAAGCTGTGAAGCTAGACATAGCTGTACGAGAAGCTCAGGCTGCCAATATCGAAATGTATGCCATTGGCATTGTAAATGCTACGGATCCAACTCAACAAGAATTCATAAGGGAACTAAATCTTATAGCTTCTGACCCAGATGCTGAGCACATGTATCTCATTGATGACTTCAACACTCTTTCAGGTAAAAAGAATGATATATGTCCTTGTTGTTAAAGCACTTGTGTGTCTATATGTATCTTTTCACAATTGTACCAATAAGGAACATGCTGATAAGAAGAGAGCAGAACTGGATGGAGAGAAGTATAAATCTTTTGGCAGGTAAAAATGTGTTACAAATCTGTGTATTTAGCTGTTTGCTTGGAGTTCAACTTCATAACAAATAAGATTTAAACCTGCCATGTAAGAATGAGAACAGTGTAGATCCCAGCGAGGGAGCCACTTAAACCATTTTCTAATTAACACCTTTTTATTAAAAATGGAAAACTATTTGATGGCTATGGTCTATTTTTTTGTTTTAGGACTTGTTGTGCAGCGATAAACAGACTTGTTCTGAACTAAATTGCTACCTGGCAGCATTAGGAGTAATTTCTTTTTATGTCTTTTTATTTGGATTATCGCTAAACAGCTTTGGAGTCTAAACTGGTGAACCAGTTCTGCGAAGACGAAAATGGTGCTCTCATCTACAATCGAGTTGGAAGCAAAATCAACCCAATGCCCAAGGTGACGGGTTCATCCACATCTATCTACAATGGAGCTGAAGTCAACAGATTCAACACAGAAGAGACTTTTAGATTAGAAGAAAAGCATAAACTAGAAGAAAGAATAAGATTAGAAGAAGACAGAATTCGACAGCAACAAGAACGAATTCGAAAAGAAGAAGAGCGAATTCGACAAGAAGAAGAAAGGCGAAAGGCGGCTGAAGAAAGACTCAGACAGACACAAGTCCCGGTACGGCAAATGTAAAATATTGACTGTGAACAGTGACAGATATTTTAAAAACTGTGTGTGTGAATATGTATTGTAGAGGCTGGGTGCCTTTATGTTTAGGCACAGTGGACACAAGTCAAGGCTATTGTGTTCTGCGTTCTTCAACAATATTCAAAATAAGCTTGAAAAACCTTTAGCCAAATGGCAAGTAAAGTTCATACAGGATATGTGATATGTGTAGCCATCTCTCAGGACCAGTGATCTCCAACCAGTGGCTTAAAACTGAGCTCCAGGCAGATGTAATCTGATGTATTAAAATACAAGAAGTTTAAGGACCTGAATTTGACTTGGTAATAGCCTCTTCCATGCCCCTGTAGAGCAGCATACAGACTTGGAAAGGGAAGAGCAGAACTGGGAGCCAATCAGGTGTGCTCATGCATGTGAGCTAACAACAAACAAGCTGATAGGAGGAGGGAGTAGAGTGAGCATAGGGATGATATTTCACTGTCCAGTCAGCAGGCAGTGGGTGGGGAGGTGACACCACAGCATTTCTAACTAAATCAAAGAGAATATGTAAAGGAACTGTGCAAATCTCAAGACTGCATAGACAATAGCAGAAATCATTTGCCACGTAAAACAGCTCTGATAGATGTATTTGATATGTGTGTTTAGATGTTTTCCTGGAGTTCAGCTCCAAGTCACATCACTTCACATTACATTTATATTTTGCATGTTGCACAAATGTATTTGGGAGGTATGTTTTTGTTATGTAGGCCTAGGTGGTGAGCAGGACATTCTATGCAAAAAAAAAAACATCACCAAAGAGTAGTGGATTGTGCTGTTACATTAAAGTAGTATTGAACTCTCAAACTTTTTCAAAAATGAATTCAGATCAAACAAATATTCATTACCAATCTTTCTGGAGTTCTTCATTAAAAAGGGCCAAAAAGAGGTGAAACACTACAAAATATACATCTTCCAGCAAAGTATTTATTTTGCCCAAGCACTTACAATGATCATGTCTCCAAACAACTCCAAATCTCTCACCTCTGCTTCCCTGAACTTCCTGTCCATGACAAGGGACAGAGCAGTCTCCACCAGTTGTCCATCTACTAGCTTGCGGGAGGAATGAGAAGCAGGGAGCAGGAAAGTGTCTTGCCTTACTGTGTCTGTTTGTTTGTGGAGACACACACAGCTTACTAGAACACACAAGGGTGGCTCCATAGGACCCTGCAAGGAAAATGAGCCACCCTAAAACATGATATCGGGGCCAGTGTTTAGGATTCCAGCTGATTTTGTAGGAAGCCAACATTTTTAAACATCAAGGAGCAGCATCCACTGTAAGTGATTTTAAGCAGGATTTGTGGCTAGTCCACACTGCAAAGGTCAACTGCTCGTTTTGTCTAGGGAACGAAAATAACAAAGATTATGTATAATTATGTATAATCACCCGATCAGACCGATCCCTGCGGAGGGAGAGAGAGGCTCTCTCTCTCCCTCCGCACCAGATGTCTAATACAGTGTATTAGACATGAAGATGCCAAGGGACATACCACCAGAGTGGAGAGATGCTGCAGGGACTGGATTTTCGCTCCCTAGAACAAAATAAGCGGTGCGGGGATAGCACCACTGCAAAGGTTAACTTCTCAAATTCTCGGAGATCTGCTTTAAAATCACTTTAATATAGAAATTAATTCATATATGAAGTTATTTTAAACTTTTTATTCAACCATTAACTGTAATCTTGCAGTGTACAATACTGGATAATGAATTACTTTTGCATGTTCACCACTAATATTTGCTGGAGGAAGATCTCACTTAATTTGTTTATTATTTCCACTACTATTGAATCGTTGATCACATACACTATATTGCCAAAAGTATTGGGGCACCTACCTTTACACACACATGAACTTTAATGACATCCCAGTCTTAATCCGTAGGGCTCAATATTGAGTTGGCCCACCCTTTGCAGCTATAACAGCTTCAATTCTTCTGTGAAGGCGTCCACAAGGTTTAGGAGTGTGTCTATGGGAATGTTTGACCATTCTTCCAGAAGCACATTTGTGAGGTCAGGTACTGATGTTGGAGGAGAAGGCCTGGCTCGCAGTCTCCGCGCTACTTCATCCCAGAGGTGTTCTACTGGGTTGAGGTCAGGACTTTGTGCAGACCAGTAAAGTTCCTCCACCCCAAATTCGCTCATCCATGTCTTTATGGACCTTGCTTTGTGCACTGGTGCACAGTCATGTTGGAACAGGAAGGGACCATCCCCAAACTGTTCCCACAAAGTTGGGAGCATGAAATTATCCAAAATGACTTGGTATGCTGATGCCTTAAGAGTTCCCTTCACTGGAACTAAGGGGCCAAGCCCAACCCCTGAAGAACAACCCCACACCATAATCCCCCCTCCACCAAACTTTACACTTGGCACAATGCAGTCAGGCAAGTACCGTTCTCCTGGCAACCGCCAAACGCAGACACGTCCATCAGATTGCCAGACAGGGAAGCGTGTTTCGTCACTCCAGAGAACACGTCTCTACTTCTCTAGAGTCCAGTGGCGGTGTTCTTTACACCACTGCATCCCTTGCTTTGCATTGCACTTGGTGATGTAAGGCTTGGATGCAGCTCCTCAGACATGGAAACCCATTCCATGAAGCTATGTTGTTGTGCCAATCTGAAGGCCACACAAAGTTTGGAGGTCTGTAGCTATTGACTTTGCAGACAGTTGGCGACTTCTGCGCACTGTGTGCTTCAGCATGCGCTGACCAAGCTCTGTAATTTTACGTGGCCTACCACTTCGTGGCTGAGTTGCTGTTGTTCCCAGTTGCTTCCACTTTGTTATAATACCACTAACAGTGGACCGTAGAATATTTAGTAGCAAGCAAATTTCATGGAACACCTGAATCCAATGATTTGGAGAGGTGTCCCAATACTTTTGGCAATACAGTGTATGTTTGGTGACCTTTAGATTTAGATACATACATTGGTATGAGCAGAAAATACAGGGGACAAAGGTTTATAATATTATTCTTGCTCTGAGATATGCCTAGGAAATACATGACAGCTAGCACAGACTGGGATCTCTTTGGGGAATTCCAGCCCTGTGCTCACAAGTGAGTCTAAATACAGGATTTCATTGTTTGTTATTCAACCATCTATTGATGTTACAGAAAAAAGAAGTAGTTACTATACCAAGTGTGGATGCGGGAGAAGAAGACGACTATGATGATGAAGATGAAGAGATAGAGCCTCTTCCATCTAAAACTAGAGGTAAATAATGTGCTCAATATTAGGATTTCTTTAATGAGGACCTTGCACTTCAAGCATTATTGTGGGCCCACTTGCTAAAATGCTGCCTTAAAGTGTATTTTCACTTTTGCTGTCAAATTTGAGAAAGCCCCTTTATATATTTTTTAAATATGACCCTTTAGATGTTTTGTTTCTGCAGGCAAGATGGCTGATTCTGAGTTTTCTGTACACCTTCACATTGATCTGTCCTTATTAGGGTTGCCACCTGTCCCCGATTCACCTGGACAGTCTGGGTTTTGAGTCCTGTATGTGCTGTTTCCGGGTTTCAGGCCAGCTGAAACACAAACACAGCACATACATGACTCAAAACTCGGACTGTCCAGATGAATCCGGGAAAGGTGGCAAACCCTAGTCTTTATAGAAAGACTTCGGACTGTTGATTGTATTTCTCTCAATAACTTCATTTGCATACAATGCAGAAGCCAGAGTTGTAATCCTTTGATCTCTCACAGCCCCTCCTAGCATTACAAAGAAGGAGAAGTCAAGTAGAAATTGTAATCTTTAAGGAGCCAAGAAACCCTAACCCAAGTAAAAGCCATTTAAACTGCCAGAAGCATTTTTGACATTTTTTGAACTTATGCTATGTGAATGGGAACATGTAACAATTATAAAATAGGTGTTATCCCAATGCATCAAATTCTTCCATGATTGGACAGAGCAGAAAAGGATTAGAAGCTCTGGCAGGTTTTTATTGCTGTCTGTGTTCCCACTGGGTAGATTTACCCCCTTTATATGTCCTGGTGACCAGTGTTCACCTAGACATAATATGCTGGGACATCCAAAGTGTTACTGTTTTACCAGAACAAGAGGAGAGGGTAAACCTTCTAAAGGGAACAACTGTTTAAAAGGGGATTTCCCTTGCTTCCTGTTGTGAGAAGAGAAAAAACGTAAAAATAAATCTCTTCATAGGGACACAGAAAGAAAAAATATAAACTGAAAGGGGTTTTGACCTTTCCCAACCCTAGCACCCTTCCCAAAATGAAAAACCTTTGGCTATACATACACTTTAAAAAACAGTACAGGGAAATATAAGTGCACCACGTCAATTAATTTACTTTACTAAATACATATTTTATTTTTGTTTGTTCTGTCCTATAGTGGTTTTGTCACCAGGTGGTTCAGCTGCTTCTTCTAAAGAGCAAACATCATCTTCATCGACAAGGACGTCATCTACCACCGTAATATTATCTCCATCAAGTTCAGCTGAGAGAAATGTGCCAATAGAACCACAAATAGGTGAATATGGGCCCCAGCATTTCTGTGTGTTAAAACCTGGGCAGTTTAAAAAAAAAAATGGACCCCTGGGCAGGGTAAAAAAATATAAATGCAGTTCAGGGTGAAAAATCCCCCGGTAATCCAGAGTTGTCCACCACAATACATTTATTTTACCATAAGATGTCTCCATCTTCGGGGTCTTCCTGAAAGACTGAAGGCATACTATGAATGAATGGACTTTGTGGCCCCTGAGGGGGCATCACCATGGTACCCTTCATTTATAGGTTATTAATGTAGAGAACAGGGATGACATTATGATGTCTCTACACCTCTGAGGACAGCCAACCGTTGGAGAAGACTGGGAGAAGAGGCGGTGCCTGCATGTCACGTGATCATCTAAGGTAAGTACATTCATAAAAATCATATCATATAGCATAGGGGTGCCACTAGGGGGCAGGGGGGTCACCCATGGTGTGGAGCTCAGAGCCCTGAGTTATTATTATATACAGGATTTATGTAGCACCAACAGTTTGCTCAGCGCTTTACATAATGGAGAGAGACAATGCAGTTAACAATACAATTTCAATACAGGAGGGCCCTGCTCATGAGAGCTTACAATCTAGTAGGAAGAACAAGTGATACAAAAGGTAATAATTGTGTGGGATGATTTAATGGAAGAGGTAAAAGGACGGTTATGTTGAGGTAGAATAGGCTTCCCTGAAGGATCGCCTAAAGTTGGACAGAGTAAGAGATAAGTGGACAGATTGGGGTAGGGAGTTCCAGAATGTGGGACACACTCTGGAGAAATCCTGCAGGCGAGCATGGGAGGAGGTGGCAAGAGAGCAGGAGAGCAGGAGGTCTTGGGAGGAGTGTAGTGGGCAGTTTGGGTGACATTTTGAGATGAGGTTAGTGATGTAGTTTGGGGCAGAGTTGTAGAAGGCTTTGTATGTTATTGTTAGTATTTTTTATTTTGTTAGTTAGGCAAGTGGGAGCCAGTGGAGGGATTCGGGATTGGCAGACGCTGATCAGTTGGTAAGGTAGATAAGTCTGGCAGCAGCATTCATGATAGACTGTAGGGGTTATAGCCTGTTTAGTGGTAGGCCAGCAAGGAGGGAGTTACAGTAGTCGAGGTGAGAGATTACAAGGGAGTGAATTAGAAGCTTGGCGGTGTCATTTGTTAATAAAGAGACAAAAGTTGGGCTTTAACCAATGCAATGATATGTCTTCTTACCAAAACACCCAGCTCCCCCCAAAACTTATGTTGTACAGCCTTAAGCTGACATAATCTCACCACACTACCGTAGAGTGGGAAAGAATGTTTATAAGAAAGGTTCGTAGCTGGGGGTATTGAAAAACCTTAGCGGTATGGGAACCAAATGATGGCGGCATGGGACTCTGGTATTTCTGAATCATTTAAAACAGGATTCTCTACATTGTTGAACCTGCAATCATAGTGGTGAAATCAACTTGATGTGTCACAGGACATGCGAGTAACATTGTCATTAAATGAACTTCAGATCCATGTTTTCATTAAACAAAAACGACAGTAAAACTCTCACTGGTTGTAGCTAGCTTCTGTATTTTGATTAGCTGTTTTTTGGGCACTATAGTCCAAAGTGCCTTATTTCCATAGGTTTTATTGCAGCACTAACTAGATAAGTACGTTATTGCTCACGCCCTCACCTTTCTCTTATTTCAGAGTATATCCAGGATGCACGTTGCAAGCTGCCATTAGATCAGGGTCCCTGCAGGACATACATAATAAAATGGTATTATGACAAACAAGCTAATTCCTGTGCCCAGTTCTGGTATGGAGGCTGCAGTGGTAATGGTAACCGCTTTGATACAGAAGAAGAATGTAAAAAGACCTGTGTTCTCTCCCTAGATGGAGGTAAGTGATCCTGTTTCCATACAATATATATGACTTCCTGTCATTACATTGTTTTAGCGTATTCGTTCATATTATAAGTTAAAGCTGAACTCTGGCCTTACCTCCAGTCTTGCACAATTGTACAGGCTCTTCTCCTGTGCTGAAAATGCTTACTCATCAACAGCTACATGAGTTTTGGATGAACTTACTTTTAACAGCTCGTTTTATCTTATATTAAATTGTATTTGTATGTAATACATTTTTCACATTTCTTTATTCTACAGAGAAATAATGTGGCGCCTATAGTCCTTCTAGAAATGGTGCTGCTCATGAAACTGAAGGATTTGTTTGCATGGACACAGCTTAAAAACATTCCCTGAAATGTGCACTTTCCTCAATTCCATTGACTCTGATGTTCGCAAAATGTGATTTCTGGAATGGAAAGCTTCAGAGAACAATCGCCTTCATTTTAAGATTATGGATTCATATCTCTAGAACATAAGTGGTTTGTGTTTACCAGGAGGATGTGTACCATACTGCATGCTTCACCAGCCTAGGGATTATTTGGGCCATGTCCACAAACAACTGGAGAATCTTTGGTCACTTTTCTCTGATACCTACAGAAATGGACTGTTTTCTCTATTAAAGGTTTAGAAAATGGACAATTACAATTACAAAAGGTCTACTAAAAATGCATTCCATATGTGTATAGAATTGGAGATGGTAACTAATATATAT